GGGGGGCAACAACAAGACAACACACCTTAAAATAAATTAAAAAATACAAAACATCAATAACTTACTGAATGAATGAATGAATATCGGATTCTTGCAAAAAGATTTGGAACTTTTTTAAGCTTTCAAATAAATAGTGACAGAAAACGCCAAAATGTTATAACCGTTGGCACCATATTCAGTGCAGTAAGTTCATCTGCACTCACAACAGTGAGAATTCAAAAGATTCATATAGTTTTAGTCAACATTATTTTAACAGGTTTGACATCCTCCATTACGGCCCGTCGTCCAGTAGGAGAGAAGTCACGCATGAACTCCACCACGTTCCTACATCACAGCCGGACCTTGGCTCTACACATACGTTGATTGGTCGACGGATTATCCTTATTTACACGTACTTTCCATTTTCATGAGTAATGAAACGTGACAGAGCGTGTCATTGTAACCGCTGGACAGGATCATGGTGAAATGGAGGTGATTTTACAAAAAAAAAATAAAATATAGTGTATATTTCAAAAACTGCAAGATCAATATAAAGAGTTTGAGCTTGTGGAAAATAGACCGTAAATCTCCAGGTGCAGGTTGAAATATATTATAACCACGCATTTCATACTATGTATATATGAAAAACGAAACAATACAAATAGTTATTCCAGCAGATTCGCATAGCAATGCTTTAATAAGCAGTATGATCTCCAGCGAATTTTCACTCAAAATGTTGAAATATATGACTTTATTTTCAATTCCTATACATTTAGTTTTACTTCTAAAAAAAAGTTGTGCACGTAATTATAGCAGTGTAATTTAAGTAACTGTTGCACCCGGTTTAATGTACGCGATACGTTGTTCTATTTAAAATCATTAATTAGATTTTTAAAATAGTTATGTATATTATTTGTTACAAGAAAATTACCAATTTTATTTTAATTTTACGATTTTACGAAAAATGAAAAAAGAAACTATATTTACAGCGAATTCACATTTCCCTGTGATTTTTAAATATTGCATACTCATGCTGTTATAAAAATATATAAACACGATTCCACGAATTTTATTTATTAATGAATAAACAAGACATTTTAGGGGTTATACAATATATGGTTTACACCGACCCCCCGCCCACACTTTACATTGATGTTGACAAGCGATTTAAAGTATAACACTGAATATTCGCTATGTATAAATATTCGTGGTTTTCGTGGTTGCTATGAGCCGTTCTTAAATAGCCATAGCTGTTGATAGGACGTTAAACAATACTAAACCAAACTAAACCATGCTGTAGAGCCGCAAAAATAAATGTTTCATTAGTGAATCCAAGAAAGATTGTACCACGAAAAATCTTCAAACCACGAAGAAAAGTACCCATAAAAATTTCCCGTTTTACAGTATGCAGTTTTTTCCTGGTTCATGCCGTATAACCCCAAAAATAATCATGGGTATTCTTTATAATTGATTTTGAAATCAGGCAATACTTTTTAGTACTCCCCTTTTTGTATTTTATGTAATTCTGAAAGAGAAACTATCACTCATATTTTGTGGGAATGTAATGAAGTACAGAATTTACTACAAAGTTTTGAAATGCTATTACAGGCATAACTTATTCCTTTTTCAATAAACAAAAAATCTTTTCTCTTTGGATTGCTATCTTTTAATCATCCTCCTGTCAACAGGGTTGATAATGAAATTAGCATTATTATCAAGCAGTACATATACAGAATGAGGTGTTTACACAATTCTTTACATATAAATTCTTTAATTAACATAATTAAAGACAGTTATAGAGTTCAAAAATATATTGCAACTGGTAAGGGCGACTCTGTGAAGGAAAAAATTGATATAGAATGGCGTAAATGGAAAAAGTTAATTGATCTATAATAAAGAGTACTCTTGCTGTTTTTTACTTGTAAATTATTATTATTATTAGTACCAGTGTTATTGGTATTTATATATCAAGTAGGCTTCTCCCAGCCCTTGGCAAAGCTGAAAATATTATGTCTTGTCTATATATAGCTACCTCCCAACCTTTTCTTCCACTCTGTTTCTATTTCTTTTTCTCGTTTTCTTTTCTTTTCTTTAGACGTCTTTAATTCTTTCTACATTCTATTTGTCTGTCCAGCCAATAAAGAACAATATACATTCATGTAAATCTTATCTTATTTATCACTGCAGGTATACAATAGATATTTTTTTTTTTTTTTGTTACTGCGTGTGCTTCCTCAACTTTATGTGTATGATGTCAGGATGTGAGAGTCATGTGACATGTGGAAGGGGATCTTGTGTTCTTGATAATAACAGTGAGGATGATGATCACATGTACATGATGCGAGTATTTATGGTAATGACCAGTGTTGATTTGTATTTTTTTCTCTGTATGATTATAACGATACATTGATATTGCTTTGATGATGATGATGATGATGAGGATGATGATGAGGATGATATGATGATGATGATGAGGATGATATGATGAGGATGATGAGGATGATATGATGATGATGATGATGATGATGATGATGATGATGATGCATTGTATGAAATATGATGAGAAGGTGTTTTATATAAAAAAAAGGTGATGATGAAGATGATAAGAATGATGATGAGGATGGTGCATGTCTGTGATGTGTTGATAATGAGGCTATTGTTTATGATGGATGATGCTTGATGTATGATGATTATGAAAATTGCTAATTTGATGAAGATGTATATTGCACATTTAAAATAAAATAAAAATCAAATTAAAAAAAACAAAACTTTTAGTACATAGTTTATAAGATTACGAATACTTCATTTCTGATAGACTCCAAAGAATTTTGCATAAAACACAACAATGCACTGAAATTTCAACGTGGAGCAACTCCAACCAATCAGAGTGTATGATTACAAATACAGTGCAAAACATTATATTATGACGTCATAAATGATGATGATCAAGATTTTATATGTTGATGTTATGATGGATACTAACATACAAACTTATTAAACATATTTAAAATAAAACTAAAAAGTTTTACATTTCTTCTTAAATACTCATGAATTAGATTTTCTGTAACTTTTCCACTGTTACTAGTCAAGAGGTGATTACGTCTTCAAGGTCTGTGATGCAAAGGACTGGGAAAGCCTTTTTAACTTGCTATTTTGCATGTTTGACAAACACAGCGTTTAAATTCAGTTTCCATCACATATGAAATTCATATCACTAGTCGTCATTGTTATTGTTATTGTTATTCTCTAAATTTTAGCACGCCTGGGTCTCAGTAAAATAAAAAAATAAATCTTAGACTTATTTCATAAAAATTCATTAATTAATTCATGTAAGACCCTATATTGTGAAAGAAATACTTCGGCCTTTTCTATATTTACGTCACAAATCTACTGCAAAGACAAAAAATGTATGGTTACATTTTCTCCAAACATTCCGCTCCAAACAAATGCGAAATATTGAATTGTGAATATATAGTTAAGTGTTTATATATGTTAAATATCAATATACCTAAATTAATATACAGTCAAACATTACCATAATTATATATATATTGTCTTAGGAATCTCCTAGAAGAGATGAAAGTACTTAAAAGACTCGTTGTTAAGAATTTTTCTTTATATAATATATATATATATATANGTGTATCAAGGATATAATGCAGTCTGAGATTATAAGCAATCAATTTAAACCAAGGTATAATAAATTATGAATCAGCAATATTGTTGTCGATTTTTTATGATTTATCAAGATAAGATTAAAAAAAGTTAAATTGATATAAACTGATAAATGGGTGAGACATTTGTCTATATGTTTACACCAGAGATCCTGGTTGGCGGTCGACACGTACCATGTCAAATTGACCACTCCTTCCAAACCCGTCACGATGGACGAATCCGGGAGTAACATCCGTGTATGAGAAATTTTATTGTTACCATGGCAACACGGGTATACCTAGATAAGATCGGACAGGTATTTAAGACAGCGTGGAACACCTGTACAACATTGGCGGATTTTTACCTCAGCTCATATAGTCTTTGAAAACTCTAACAAAATGGTAAGTGTTCTTGGCTATTATAATAATAGGTTAGTTCTGGCTGATATTTAAAACGTTTAAATATCGCGATTCCTACTGACATTCGTTTACAATGACCTTGGTCAATATTGTAACTTATGTTGTAATCTAGCATCATTATCAAAATACAACTTTGCTGATTGTTTAATTAAATTAAGTTGTACGAAGTTATATACAAGTAAATTGAATATACTAACAATAGAATAACATGAATTCGTTCAAGTTTGACATATTGAAAAATCAATTCAAAATGTGAAATTAAAAAAAAAAAAATGTTTTGATAATTAATTTGACAATCATTTGTTTTTCATTCCAAATGAAGCTTTGTATTCTTGCAGGTCACTGTAGAGAATTTCTGTTTAGTGTATTCGAGTTATCTTTCTTTGAACACTAAATCAAAATAGACACACGGAAACATGACGCTAGAGTTGCTATTTTTTTGTTTCCATTAGTAGATTATATACATGTTTATGACAGTCATCCGTAATTTCAACAGTTTTCTGCCGATATGAGTACGAAATCGCGGTTGCTTCTTAAGTGCGCGGAATCCGGTAACACTAGGATACATATTTACTACCTGTATCATTATAATGACCAGCGTAAACTACGCTAGATTGTTCTGTAACGTATTGATATGTTTATTGTGTACCATTAAGTTTTAAAAAACACACATTGTACATTGTAGTAAATTTGATAGATGTTATGTATTGTTGTGTTAATTGCAACGTATGATGACACTGATGTACATTTCAGGCAGTTTTTGTTATGACTGACTGTATGAAAAGTGCTTGATCTTCCAAGTTGTGTGTTGTACTTTGTCTGTTGTTGGTGACCTTATTGATTGTTTTAAATGTTATCACGTTAGCTTTTTTTGGGCATCGAAGATGTTTTGACCTTGTTTATGTTTTGTCACGTTAGCTCTTTTTTAAGCATGTCTCTGACCTTGTAATTGTAAGTTGTCTTTATGATCTTGTAAGTTCTTTTTATGACATTTTAAGTTGATTTGATTTTGTGATAATGTTTACAATTGTTAGCTATTTGTGACTTTGTGGTAATTTTGGCCATCTTATTTGCGCTCGACCTCTGAGGTTGTGTTTGACGTTCAATAATACTTGACAAAAGCGCATTGAAAAATTATCTCTATTGCATTCATCGTTGACATTTGAATATTCTTCTTTCCAGAACAAGAACACGTGCAGTATTGGTTTGGGCAAGTTGAGGAAGCTCAGTATGGCATATCTACAAGATGTCCTCCTCAACCTATACAACGTCAAGGTCAAGATGGAAAGCAGCAAGAAAAGTTTCCAATCGGACGAAGAGCTTCCGACAACCCGCGCCACTGACATGCAAGGCGCAAAGAGCCACATATGCAAACGATTGCGACTAATTTTTCCTACGCAGGCAAAAAAATCTGATGAATTTGAGGAAATTTGTGAAAATATTATGGAAAGCAAATGTGTACGAGACATGATGGAACAACTTGAAAAGACTGGAGAGGAAGCCATGGGCGTCGTTAAAGCCTGGGGTGTTGAGAACGCGCTATACGTCGGGATAATTCCTATGACAGCTGGTCCTAATGTCAAGGCCATGTTCGATGCGACAGCGGATGTGGAGCGAGATCGCCTATACCTACACTGGGACAACAGCCTCTCCGACAATCTCATCGCGGCGGTCACCCAGCTCGCCCAGCTTCTCAGGAACGAAGGGAGACAGCCAACGCCCATGGAGTATCTAAGCTTTCACCTGGCCTACTACGGTATATCTAACGGGGAAGTGGTCCAACAGGACAACGCCCGTTGTCTAGGGACACCAGGGTTCCGTCCGTACACACAGACCTACATGTCCTTGACTGATCCGGGAGATGGTCACATGATCGGAACAACTAAATCGAATGATTGGATGAAAGGTGCCATTGTACACGTGGAGCACTTGGAAAGGCCGAGGCACTTGCCTCGTGAAAAAATCGAATCTTATCGCATCCCCTCAATCTTGGACTTTTCAAAAGTTCGACTTCATGTTGGTACTCAAGCACCTACAACTTACTTCGTTGGTCGACGCGTAAAGGATTCTGGAAACTTCAGCGAGGACTTCCTGAAATTGGTAAATATCACGGCGGCATCGGCCACAGCTGCGTTCTATCAGGGAGCGGCAGAGTGCAAGGTGTCGATGGAGGGGCTGAGCACGTCACAGGCCGTCCAATACATGCAGGCACTCAGGGGTCAGGTCCAGCGGAACCGGAAACAGTTCTTGTCAGCAGCATGGAATCTCAACCAGGTCATTACCGACGACTTTGAGCAGGGTGAGACCAAGATGCTTAAAGACAGAATGAGCATTGCATTGCGAGCCATTGATATTACATACCAAGGAGGTTTTAACAAGATCACGTGGGACGGAGCCAGCGACACCTACCCGTCCAAGTGTATCATGTACCAGTTCACTGTCCCGGAAGCTCTCACCGTAGTACACGAGGCACACATGAGGGGACTCGTTACCTACTTTTCAGCAGGTTTCAAATTCAATGAAATCAAGTTGGCCGTGTACGCCGGTGTTGACGGGATCGGCATCGGTGGTGCACAAGTACTGCGGTTTATGGACAGCCAGACCGGGATGCACGGGCCGTATATGGAGGAGAACATTCCCAAAATACTGAAAAGTCGCGATGAGGCATCCAAGTCTGTTCAGGGAAGAGCTGTTCATATCCTTGCCAGACTGGACACCATGTATTTTGAAGGATCAATCTCTAGCGACCAGGACCGTTTACGGCGCGAGCTATTTACGGAACTTCTGAACGAGAATTTCACCAGAACAGAGTACCTGTTGCAACTCCTCAAACCCGTCAGCAAGATGGCGGATGAAGGCAATAGCCCCTTGTTGGGGTTAGCTAAAAGACTCATCGACGCTGCATCTCCCGTGCTGAAGGATCACTTTGAATCGAATGACGAATGGAATTCGTTTATAAAAGATCTCAAAAGCATGTATTTGTCGAAGGATGAGAATTCCCTGGTGGATGAATACGAGAGTGATCCCTGGCTCTGTGCCAGGAAACGGTACAGGGAGTCACAAAATGCCGACAAAAGGCGGTTCACCAGGCAATCGTCATACGATATCCACTGTAAATGTTTCAACTAACTCACTCGACAGATTTGAGCTTATTAAGACTGTAGGATTTGGCAATTTCATCTAGGTATTCTATTCTATCTGAGTAGATGCTTAATGTCAGTGATATTCGGCGCGAAGTGAACACATGTTTTTTCAGCAGGTGTGAACAAAAGGTCCACCGTTGTAGCGGGACGGATGAACTTGTACCTGTATATTATGCGTTCGAGGCGTCAACATTTAAAGGTTGTGCATAATAGTTTCTCCATTAACCTATTTGCTGCTAAACAGTTGAGTTTTGAAGCCGTAAGTTTACATTTTATTTAACGTCTTCAAATTGTACGATGCTTCGTAAAATCTATACGTTAGTATATAATGCTGTTTATTTGTTTTGTTATATTTTGAAATATTGTCGCTTACTAGTTTCTCTATAGTTTCTATTTTGATACAGAATTTCTTATTGTAAATTTCGTATTTAGTTAAGTTACTTTCAAGTGAATTTAATATAAACATTTTAATGTGATAATGTGAATATTTATACGTTGTATTCCATAGTTGACCTGACCTGACATTATTGTTTTGTGGTCCAGTGGTAGATCGGACTACAGACAGTATGTACCACAAATCCACACTGACGTCTTTCATATTTGTTTTAGTTTGTAATCGTTGCCTATATCTTGTTTATTTACTTATTACTCTTATTAAACATTTATTATCGTTTATTTTTCCTTAAATCTGTTAAATTTTGTCTTTATTGAAAGTATAAATCGATTGATAAATTGTCAAAGAACAGTCTGTTTGGGTTTTTTTGTTACAAAGAATGTTTTTCTATTACAAATGTATATTATATAACGTGCTTTTGATGTTATTGTTTGGAGCTGACTGCTTCACTTGTACAAAACAGTTGTTTATAATAAATCCTTTTTCATAGAAGTCACGGTGTTGTGTTGTTGTAGCGGGTCTGTGTATGTTTTTTATTCCATTGGTGTTCTGTTGAATAAAACTAATACAAGCCATTCGGATATAACCCGCTTTGACCATCAATACACATATGTCAAGTTTGGTTGGTGTAGCACCTTAATGTTGATGGAGGTACGGACAAAGTCAATGGGCAGGTAGGCTGACTTCCAGACTTCCCACATGTCGCACACCCGACATCTATATGTCAAAATGTCTAAGTCTGGTGTTAGTATCAGAGGAAACTCTGGCTACTACCTACGATGCATCTATGGTCCAAGGTTTGGTTGCTCTAGCATTTATACTTTCAGTGAAACTAATTTAACTTGAACGCAAAAACTTAATGGTGACGCCGCCGCCGGAAAAGCAACACTTTAGTTTCGCTTCCGCTACTTCATGGCGGTGAGACAAAAACGACAGAATTCAGATAAATTCAAACGTCTGTCATACAAGATGTTATACATTTCGATTTGTCCGTGATTGACGAGTTCTTCTCTTCCTGGACATGTCAAAAACGTCAATGTCTATGACTGGTCAGTAAGCGTCCGCCTGGTACCTTTGTCTCTGATTGGTCACTTCGTCTCTGACCGGTCTGTTCAAATTGACTATTCATTAAGTCTCTGTTTAGCCAGTTTAGTCCCCAGCTGGTCTATAATAAATTCATATTATACAAGTAGTTAGTCTCTAACTGATATAGCTGTCCCTGACTGGTCACTTAGTCTGGATCTCCGACTGGTCAGTAAGTCTCCGACGTGTTTGTCGCTGACAGGTCATTTAATCTCTGACTGGTCAGTGATTGGTCAATTTGTCGCTGACAGGTCATTTAATCTCTGACTGGTTATTTATTAGTCAATTTGTCGCTGACTGGTCATTTAATCTCTTATTGGTCAGTGATGGTTCAGTTTGTAAATACGTTTGTCTCTAACTGGTTTGTTTGTCGCTGACAGGTCATTTAATCTCTGACTGATCAATGATGGGTCAGTTTGTCGCTGACTGGTCAGTTAATTTGTCTCTGACTGGTCATTTAATCTCTGACTGGTCAGTGATTGGCCAGTACGTCGCTGACAGGTCGGTTAGTCTCTGAGGTGTCCGTTGGTATCTGACTGGTTTGTAAGTCTCCGACTGATCAGTTAATACGTTTGTCTCTGACTGGTTTGTTTGTCGCTGACAGGTCATTCAACCTCTAACTGGCCAGTGATTGGTCAATTTGTCGCTGACTGGTAAGTTGTTTTTGACTGGTCAGTTAATTTGTCTCTGAATGGTCATTTAATCTCTGACTAGTCAGTGATTGGTCGGGTAGTCTCTGAGGTGTCAGTTGGTATTTGACTAGTTCTTAGTCTCCGACTGGTCAGTAAATACTTTTGTCTCTGACTGGTTTGTTTGTCTCTGATTGGTCAGTTTGTTTCTGACAAGTCTCTTTAGTCTCTTATTGGTAAGTTTGCCACTGACTGGTCAGTTTGTCGTTGAATGGTCATTTAATCTCAAATTGGTCAGTTTATTCTCTGACTGGTCGGTGAGTCTCTGACTACTCAGTTCAGTCTCTGATTGGTCTGCTAGTTTCCGACTTCTCAGTTTATTTCTGACTGGTCTGTTAGTTTCCAACGTCTCAGTTTATTTCTGACTGGTTTGTTAGTTTCTGACTTCTCAGCTTATTTCAGACTGGTCAATTTATTTCCCAATGGTCTGTTAGTTTCCGACTTCTCAGTTTATTCCTGACTGGTCTGTTTTTTTCCCACTGGTCTGTTTATTTCGGACTGGTCTGTTAGTTTCCGACTTCTCAGTTTATTTCCCACTGGTCTGTTTATTTCTGATTGGTCTGTTAGATTCCGACTTCTCAATTTATTTCTGACTGGTCTGTTTATTTTTGACTTGTCTGATAGTTTCGTACTGTTACATTTGCGCCTGATTCAACAGTTTGTTCTGATCGGTCATTTCAATTTGACTAGTCAGTAAACTCTGACTGGTGGTCAGTTCAGTCTGTGACAGGTCAGTTAGTTTTTACTGTCAGTTTGTCACAGACAGGTCACTTTAGTCTTGGGATGGTTAGTTTGGTCCCCAGCTGGTCAGTTAAGTTTCTGATTGGTCAAAATGTCGCCGACTGATCAGTTAGTCTCCTGTCGGTTAGTCTTACTGGTAAGTTTGTCGCTGACTGGTCCGTAATTGGTCAGTTTATTGATGACTGGTCAGTAATTGGTCAGTTTATTGATGACTGGTCAGTTAGTTTTTGATGTTTCATATGTTCTCTGACTGGTCAGTATAGTCAATGACTGTCAGTTTGTCACTAACTAGTCACTTTAGTCTTGGATTGGTAACTTTAGTCCCCTGTTGGTCATTTAGTTTCTGATGTGTCATATAGTCTCTTACTGATCTTTTTAGTCAATGACTCGTTAGTTATCATATGACCGGTGAATTATAGTCTCTGGTCAGTTAGTCTTTGACTGGTCTGCTTGCCTCTTGACTAGTCAGTAGAGTCTCAGACTGGTCAGTTGGTTTCTGACTGGTCAGTTATCTCTGATTGGTCAATTAATCGATGACTGGTCAGTTAATGTCTGACTGATATTGAGATAAATCTCTGACCAGTCAGTAGGTCTCTGACGGACAGTTTGACTGGTCAGTTTGCCCCTGACTGACCAGTTAGTCTATGATTGGACGGTTAGTCTTTAAGGCTGGTTGGTTAGTTTCTGATTGGTTGTTATTCTGGTGATCACTACGTTAATGTGTCGCAGCACAAACTAAGATACAAACTTATCAATGACACGCCTTGTCTTAGAGAAACATTAAACACAGCCGAAAGAATCTGTAATATTGATGTGACGGTTTCTTGGGATATCCTTGTATTGGATGCAACTAATGTTCGCAGATTTTTTGGGAACCTGTCGCGAATCATTTTGGTATTAGGATGATGTATTATTCTCGACTAATAAGAAACTGGTATGCATAATAAAATATGTTGAGTACAATCTGTCGAATATCGAGAACAATCTGTTGGATAACGAGTACAATTTGTCGAATATCGAGTACAATCTGTCGAATATATCGAGAACAATCTGTTGGATAGTGAGTACAATCTGTCGAATATCGAGAACAATCTGTTGGATATCGAATACAATCTGTCGAATATCGAGTACAATCTGTCGAATATCGAGTACAATCTGTCGAATATCGAGTACAATATTCTATTATCGAGTACAATATCTGCTGAGTATGGGTTACAATATATTGAGTATCGAGTACATTCTGTTGAATATCGAGTACAATCTGTCGAATATCGAGTACAATCTGTTGAATATCGAGTGCAGTATATGGAATATCGAGAACAATCTGTCGAATATCGAGTACAATCTGTCGAATATCGAGTGCAGTATGGTGAATATCGAGAACAATCTGTCGAATATCGAGTTCAATATCTAATGAGTATGGGTTACAATTAATTGAGTATCGAGTATCATTGGGAATTAATATTATTCTTCGTGTCCACACTCGCATTTATATATAGTGTCGAGTGTTCTGTCATTATCAGCGTGACACATACAGTACGTCCAGTAGTCCAACTAACTGTAAGGATGGACACCACATCTCATAGGGGAGAATTACAGCAAGTTTGACATTTATTTCTGCTAGAACAATGCTAGAATATGGAAAGTCAGTCAAAACTTTTTGTAGAAAAAATATTTTCGATTCTTTAAATGTGCAATCATGTTGTTAAGTGGTCAACCCGTGAACCTCGGATTTCCTGAAGGGAACGAAACTTTACAAGTTTACATCTTAGCCATGCCAATATTGATATCAAACGAGCGACTTATTCCTAAAAATGGCTTAAAATGTTATTCAACAAGTAAAACTGTTCAGTTCTTTTTTTCCATAAAGACTGAAAATGGTATATAAATGTATTCATTAACGGTTTAAGCTAACTTGTTTTCTGCGTTTATCAAGCAATAACAGAGACATTTGGTCGATTCTGATAAAATCTTATAAATATCAGAATAATTGATGTAAATATATTTTCTACACAAAAACTAATAAAAAAAATGAAAAAAATGTCTTCTCCTTCAAAACATTAGATGATATATGCAATAATAAGTGCAAAGTAGGAAATAATTAATGATGATTGTAAATTAAAAAAGAAATCCATATGAATTCAAATTAACAAATCATATAGATTATTTTGTATTTCATATTTCACACTAAGGTTGCCACAAGTTGTCAATGTCACAAATATTTTATATGATAAAAAAAACACCCCATCTAAATGTAAAAAGATTATTGTCAGAAGTGGGATTCGAACCCACGCCTGGAGAACCAGACTGCGACCTGAACGCAGCGCCTTAGACCGCTCGGCCATCCTGACTCTTGCAAATTCTGTTAACAAAACAATTATTCAAAGACAGCTTATAATATAAAGGTGATTTGAACAATTTAAATAATATTTTTTTGATAGCAACAACTTAATTTTAACGTTTTTTAAAATAAATATAGAGTCAACAGATCAATAGAAAAGGCAACAAGACAGTGACGTGCCGTTTAGACACTATGTTCTAGCAAGTCTGGACAAGTTTTTTGTCAGTTCCAAGGGTTACCTCCCCTTAACTGTTTGTTTGGTTAAATTGATTTCAAATTATTTCAGAAAATGTACATCAAAGGGGATCTTTGATTTCATATTATGGTAACGAACAAATCAAAGATGCACATCTCTACTTTTATAATGCTGGCTGTATTTATTTATGGCGATTACCTCAGTGTTATTTGAGAGCAGGTGATCGGTACAACGCCGGAAGTTGAAAATATATACTTGCTGATACAAAACATAGTTCTATATTTTAATAACAGTTATAGAATTAATGTGATTTCAATTTGTTCAAGAAACAAAAAAACACTGTATAAACTATAAGAGTGTACAACGCAAATTAATTCATTTTTTTATAAATGATAGTTGTATTTTAAGGAAGTTCTGACGTCAATTTTCCATCCGCGTACTAATCGCCATATTGGATATTGCTATAAATACCAAAGTAATTTCCATGCCCAAAATAGCACAACTTGCGGATTTTTGCAGTGGAGGATCCTACTGGTTAGTAAAAATAGTAACCGCTTGGTTATTTTTATAAACTCTTACCATCGATCTACTGAATATTATGTTTTAAGTGATATATATTTCAATATTCTTTTATATGTCGACAAAATGGAGGTTTGTTTGTTGGTAAATTCCGGTTGCTTTGCGATAAACTGGGCTCGCGAACTTCTCCGACTCCATGTTTCGATTCCCTATGAAACAGCAAGTAGAATGTCACTCGGTCCGATAAAATGTATCAGTCCATCGTGTTACTATTGTTGTTTATTTCTCTTCGCAGAAACCACGGTGAATATAGCCCTTTACTCGAGAAAAGTTGACGTGGACTCGGGAGGTAAGATTCCAGGCGGTTGTATATTGACTGACCTACAAATGAGCCAAGCCGACATTTTTTAGGTCAGAGTGTTTGGATCGGGCATTTCATCAGCAGTATTAATGTTAACGCAAAGGAAGTTGCCAATCTATTTATATCAAAAATATCCTTGGATATAAGATGTGACTGCAATTGTTTATTTTGATGTTAAGATGGAAACTGTACTGTCGAATAAGTTGCTTTTTATGGCTTTTAAACTCACAAATAAGTTTATCATCATTTGGCAAAGGAAAGCTAAAGATTTGTTTTGAAAACTGTCATTTCTACTATATAATACTATTGACAAGAGAAAAGTTCTAAAAACAATTGGTTAGAAAATCAAGGCCAGACAGAAAAAAAAATTGAAAAGTTGATTTATATTTTACTTCCTGGTTATTTTTTTTATAAATAAAATTTGTGAATCCAAAAGTGACATTTCTATATTTATATAACTCTTTCAATGTGTAAAATTGTATTCTTAAAAAAGTGTTCCTCATATATTGAGAATGTTTTTTTTTATATAAATGCAAATTTATTCCAAACACTATGGGTTATTAGAAGTGTTACAGGAAAGAGAGTTATAGTTTCCATTGGGGTTCGAAGCTTCGACCCCCAGCTTCCAAGTGTGCTGCTCTATCGATTGAGCTAAAGAGGATTTTTCTTCAGTGTGACTAAATCTATGTACAACTAAAACCTGCCCCACTACTCTGCCTTTTTAAATGTCTTTGGCCACAAACAGGACAGCAACCCTGATTCTAACTGCGTTCCCACAGAGAGGGCCAGGGGTAGTACAAACTTGCCAACTCTCCCTATTTTGTAGGGAGACTCCCGAATTCAGACCCTTAAATTGAGCATTTACTAAACTATTCCTTTTTTCTAAGATCTGATGATGCATATGTCATCTGAAAGAACAGCTCAAAAGATGCCCTAGGCCATTAAAGGTGTTATTTTTATCCCTCGCTTTCACCGAAATTAATTTGGGTTTGTCTGTATGTCTGTCACGCTTCGTTTCCGTGCAATAACTACAACAAATGTAAACCGATTTTCTTTAAACTTGGGTTAACTGCCTTTAGGGGTCGGCCAAGTTCGATGGACATTTGGCGGAGTTATGGCCCCTTGAATAACGAAAACGTCATTAACTGCCGCACTTTGTTCGGTGCAATTACTTCAATAAATGTTAACCGATTTTCTTCAAACTTGGTCACAGGGTTAAATACCTTAAGGGCTCGGCTCAGATAGATGACCACTTCCAGCAGACCCTGTTTGGCGAAGTTTTGGCCCCTTGAATAACGAAAACGTCATTAACTGCTGCACTTTGTTCGGTTCAATTACTTCAACAAATGTTAACCGATTTTCTTCAAACTTGGTCACTGGGTTAAATGCCTTAAGGGCTCGGCCAAGATGGATGACCACTTCCAGCAGACCCTGTTTGGCAGAGTTATGACCCCTTGAATAACGAAAACGTCATTAACCCTTATCCCGCCATTCACTCATGTGTATATATACACACCACTGCTGTGTATACAATTTGTGGGATACCTCCCACTGCCAAATAAACAACAGCTATTTTAATCAAAATTAATTATCTGATTAAACTAACAATAACTTTTTATCTTATTAGAATCCAAGAAAATATATATAAAGTGTTTTGTTCAGGAAGACTTCTTCTTTTCATATCAAAAGTAATTTTGGATATCTCGCTTACCTTTCCCGAACTACAGGTTAGAAAAGCTGGGTTTTGTGTGTATTTTGTATGTTAGAAAGATGATTTACATCTAATAAACAGTTTATTTATTACCATCACCTGAAAAACAATTCCAAGTTTCATAATCAAAAGTACTTAGTATTCTGTCGTAAGAGTCGTCCGTATATTGACGTTAAAAAGAAGAGAGAAGAAAAATGAATAGGGTCGTTGTCACCTGAAATATCTTTGTTCAAACCGGGCCGTCCCGTGAATGGGGCATTTATGGAGGTACGCTGTGTTGTCGTCGTCTTCAGGAATGTCCACGTCTTTATATGATTGATCAAAGTCATTATCTTGTACGATTTCTGCGTCACATAGTAAATCTTCAGGTCCGAATCCCTAAAAGTCATTGTCAAATATATCGCTGATAATCTACAGTCGTTCGATTCGTCTTCTATCAGTTTGTCGTCCACCATTTTTCCGCGCTGTCAACAAAACGAATCTATGCTCTCGCGGTCATGGTGGCTTAGTTTATAAATAAACTGTGGGTATCACGTAGTCAGCCAATGAAATTAAGGTATACAGGAATACGTCATCATTTCTAAGTAAAGCTAGCAGTGATTTTCTCACCACAGTTCCGTACTTAAAACGGCAATCCCGGAATCGACATATGCCGCGATCGGCAGTGGAAGGCATGTTTTGCGGAACGACATATGCCGCGCTTGGCAGTGGGAAACGGGTTTATAAAAACGACGTATGCTGCACTTGGCGGGATAAGGGTTAACTGCCGCACTTTGTTCGGTGCAATTACTTCAACAAATGTTAACTGATTTTCTTCAAACTTGGTCACTGGGTTAAATGCCTTAAGGGCTCGGCCAAGATGGATGACCACTTCCAGCAGACCCTGTTTGGCGAAGTTTTGGCCTCTTGAATAACGAAAACGTCATTATCTGCCGCGCTTCGTTTCTGTGCAATTACTTCAACAAATGTTAACCGATTTTCTTCAAACTTGGTCACAGGGTTAAATACCTTAAGGGCTCGGCCCAGATGGATGACCACTTCCAGCAGACCCTGTTTGGCGAAGTTTTGGCCTCTTGAATAATGAAAACGTCATTATCTGCTGCGCTTCGTTTCTGTGCAATCACTACAACAAATGTTAACCGATTTTCTTCAAACTTGGTACAAGGGTTAAATGCTTTAGGGGCTCAACCAAGTTCGATGACAATTTTCCGAGGAGTTTATTTGGCGGAGTTATGGCCACTTGAATAACAAAAAAACATCATTATCTGCTGTTTCTGTTCATTAACTCTCGCAAATATTATCCGATGGTCTTCAAACTTAGTAATAGGGTTCAATGCATTAAGGGCTCGGCCAAGTTTGACAACCACTTTAATTGGACTCAATTTGGCACTTTCCTCATAATAACTCTTGCAAATATTAGATAAGGCCTTTTTTCGTCGAGATTCAAGCTATACATTATGTCTCAGCCGCACGATACTTACATGTTTAAACCTTACCTCAATGATGTTTACCTACAATATGTCCTGAAAGTGGGGGATACAAATTCCACAAATTTGCTTGTTTACCTAGAGTGTACATGTACATACACACATTTTATTTATGCTTTTAATTCTTAATACACATATTCTCACCATAGAAATTTTGAAAATTTGACAAGTATGGTAGTAATGAGGTATTCAGTTTAAAATCAAAATCAATAATTGGTTGGTAATCAATAGTAGTAAACAGATTGATGATCTATTGCATATATATAATTGGTTTATTATTTTATAACTTTATGCATTTTTGTCGATCACATAATAAAAATGTAAGATTAAGTGACTTTCAATGCATACTTTGTACTATACAGTTGACACTTAGATATTAATAATGAACCTTTTATATCGATCTGTTATGGAGTTTTTAATCAATAATCATAGCGCCATAGAAGTGTCAATGCAAACTTATTGCAACGTCACTGACAAATATGTGTTGGTTTTATTGGTCTACTAGCTATATGTAGTTTTGCCTTATGTGGACTTCTCTAGGAAAAGAGTGTAGTGTGCTTCTAGCCTTCTACCAGGGATCAAACTAGTGACTCCTAGCTTACAAGTAAGCCTCTCTACCAATTGAGCTAAAGGGAAATTCCTCTAGTGTGAGACTGAAATCTATATTCAACTTAAACTTGCCACATGAGTAATGGGGAAAGAGTTTCGCTGACATCTTTATATGTATAATGTTAAATAGAAAGGAGTTGTGAAAACTGTTCAGCATGCACGATTCAATGAGTAAAGTTAATTTCAGCGACGTTTGAAACAAAAGCATTAACTTTTCCATGCCAGCTGGGCTAGCATATTCACTGTCATCTATATCTAAGCTGAACATTTTTTTTGAAGGGTTTTAGTAAGCTGTCATCTGGTCATGACACAGAAAAATAATCTAAAAACAAGATGGCCACAGGGCAGCCATCTTAGATTTTGAACATCAAGTTTTGTTTTCCTATTTCTCATTAAGTACCTGATAGATGTCGTAATTTTACAGCTCTTTTGATTGTACACTGCAAGTATAAGGTATAGGTAAGGAGGGTATAAACCTTAACACATTACTGGACTGTTTTATCAACAACTGTTTCATAAAGATTTTGTAAAATTTAACTGATGAAAACACCAAAATTTGAAGTTATGCACCTGTGCTTTTTGATCCAACTATTTTTGAGTTTTCCCTGTTTTACAATATAATGTCATTTTGTAAACATAGAAGAATTTTGTCCCGATAGTTCTCAACAAATTTATAAAAAAAAAATGTGCAAATCACTCATTTTTCATATTAAAGCAAATTAAACCCTTTTGCAAAATTTTAAGCCAAGTCTTGTCTGCATCTTATTCTAACAGATCATGTCATGGTTAAATCAGCACATACCATTTCTGGTCATTGTAAGATTAAAGATTGATAATTAAAAGAAAGGATACCAAGTGAAAGACAGGTAAGTATTTTTTAGTCTCGCCGCCACGAAGTAGCTGTAGCGAGACTTATGTTTTCTGGCGACGGCATCAACATTTAGTTTTTGCACTCAAGTTAGTATCACTGAAAGTATAAGTGTTTGACCAACCAAACTTGGACTATACATGTAGATGCATCTTAGGAAGTACATCTCAACCCATGCATCATATTCTTGATGTGGCATACTTTTCATGGTCTGTTGACTTTGTCAGCATTGCCAGCGAAATTGTTTTTGCGTTTAAGGTAGTTTCTCTGATATGTGCATTGATGGTCAAAGCGGGGCACAGGTGAGACATGT